TTGCACCTGAAGAACTAGGTGAGTGGTATTATTGATAAAGCTATGTTATACTCGTTTTGATAAATCTTGCTTGCTTTGTTTTGACGAAAGTGTTTTGTTAAGCATGAATGAACAGTCTGGCTACGATGTTATTCTTGGAAAGTCCCTTGTGCTGGAGGACTCTAAACTTTCGCAGTACTATGTGTAAAGGATACGGTCCTTGTTAAATCGGGCTACGGGCCTAAGTAACACAAGTCCCTTGTGCTGGAGGACTCTAAACTTTCGCAGTACTAAGTGTAAAAGGATACGGTCCTTGTTAAATCGGGCTACGGGCCTAAGTAACACTAGTTTTGCTATGTTAAATCGGGCTATGGGCCTAAGTAACACAAGTCATTTGTACTGGAGGACTCTAAACTTTCGCGGTACCAAGTGCACAAGTCCCTTGTACTGAAGGACTCTAAACTTTTGCAGTACTAAGTGTAAAAGGATACGGTCATTTCTTGAAAAGATTACTATGTTAAATCGGGCTACGGGCCTAAGTAACACCAGTCCCTTGTGTTCATCCCTTGCTTCGCCGATGTTGTAATATTTGATTGATGAATACGGTTCATCCCTTGCTTCGCCGATGTTGTAATATTTGATTGATGAATACGGTTCATCCCTTGCTTCGCCGATGTTGTAATATTTGATTGATGAATACGGTTCATCCCTTGCTTCGCCGATGTTGTAATACTTGATTGATGAATACGGTTCATCCCTTGTTTCGCCGATGTCAGTAAGCATCCCTTGTGACTTGTGATATTTGATCGATGAATACGGTTCATCCCTTGTCTTGATAAAGTTTGATTGGTTTTGTTTTGAAGGACTCCGACTTTATTCATGCAAACCTTTATTATTAGTACCATTCACAGAGTATTCAGGCTCACCCTCTCTATATATATATGTAGGTGATGAGCAGGACGTCGGCGACGCCTAGACTATTTTGAAAGCTTGTTTTGGATCCGTGCTTATGTCGGCTTGTTTTGTATTTATGTCGGCAATTCTTGAAAATCATGCTTCTTGGCTCGTATTAACTGTATTTCTGTATATATCGGCTCAAGAAGCCTTTTGATCAAGATGTAATACGTATTTTACTTTGTTGTATTCAAGTTGTAAAGTTAATTGGAAATGTTGGCATTGCATTTGATCTACGCACAGCTCTTATGGACTGCTCGTATTTTAGATTATTGCTTCCGCATTTGTTAGCCCCGATTATTATACTCTGATTGTGTTAAGTTTTTGAAAGTTGGCCTTCGGTAATTACGGATTACTGGCCATCACGGCACCAAACTCCTAAGGGCGGTCTGGGGTCGTGACATAGATGATATCTATGCCAGGACTGACCTTCAAGTTGATTACCAAAAATATCAGACAAAATTACAGAGTGAGACAAGCTCAGTGAATAACAGTACGTAAACAATTTAATATTCAATTTAAATCATAATATGGAACAATGCATACACAAAAATGGATTCCAAGTAGTTAGTCTGATGCTGTTTTATTTTCCAGAACGGCCTTGGGCCTAGTCATAACAGAATGGCCTACTGGCCTAGAAATACAGAACAACCTTTCGGCCCAGAAGTATACAGAACAGCCTTTCGGCCCAGAAGTATACAGAATAGTCTTTCGGTCCAGAAATATACTGAACAGCCTTTCGGCCCAGAAATATACTGAACAGCCTTTCGGCCCAGACATGTACAAAAATGTACATAATCCTTTTAACATTACATTTCCATCGAGTTCTAATCAACACATATGTTAATGTCGTAACTGTTGGAAAATAGAACCTTAATCGCAGATATTAACAGTAAATATATGTACATTCGGTGTACTGTTACTCATAGTATTGTTGCGGAGCCGTGGTTCCTTCTGTGGTGTGTCCTACACACATAGATAACACATTAGTTTCTTTCTCCTTTTAAACCATTTCTTGCATTATTACATTTCAATTACATGTACAATCATCAAAAAGTATCAAACACAAATTCTAAAAAGAGTTGAGGGTTAAGCACGTAAAACGGAGCGAACGGGATTTCTGACCTGGGCCGCACGTGCGGCCACCCCCACCGCACGTGCGGTCCCTCTCCACTGCTCGAGCGGCCAAAAACAGTATGCTCTCTCATTTTTTTTCCTCTTCTCCGCACGTGCAGTCTGGCCCCTATTTGGCAGTCCAAAAATCATACAAAACCCCATGTTTGGTGATCAACAACAAGGCCCAAATTAGATGCTTTAAATGCTAAAATATGGTGCAAAGATCATGTAATTAAGGGTACAAAAACACCACCATTTGAATCATGGAAGATCAATTAATCATCACCACAACCTATGTCTCTTACATACACATATATACATATATAGCTATATATATACACATATGGGCTCCAACATGGTAATTCAAGAAACAAAATTAAGTTGACATAAGCAAGTAGTAGAATCATCTTACCAATAAATCAATACATCCAAAACCCTCATTACAACTCTAGGGTACACCATAACAAGCAATTCCTTCTCCAAATTAAAAAGAAAGGGTTGAATTTGGGAAACTTAGACTTACCTTGAACTTCACTAGCTAGATCTCCCTTCAATCTCACAAGCCTTTACCTTCTTTGATGAGCTACTCCTCAGAACCCTTCTCTCAACTAAGTTCTTCCTCCAGGAGATATTTCAATAAGCTTCTAAGTCAAAATGATCCAAGAACTTTGATATATAGAGATATTTCTATAAGGGTGAATAAGACAAAAATTCAATCGTTTAAGCATCCCAAATTGAAATTCCACAGAAAATCCCATTATAGCTTAAAAATCATGCAAATTTCAAATGTCAAATCAATTTCAGAAAATTAAGTCTCTAAGGCTTCCAATTCCGGATTCAAACAGTTTAAGTGCGACAGATAATTTTCTTATTCAACAGATAGGAATCCATATTTCCAAGTTTCATTTAATTCAATGTAGTTTCACATAGAATTTCACAATAAGCATTTAAAAACACAGAATAGAGGACTGAAAAGATACCAGAATCATGTATGAGGGTCAGGTTATTACAGTCCATTTCTCAAGGTCTTTCTTTTTCGTCTTGATTTCTATTACTCTTCTATTACTCCTTATGGCTTCTTCTTATTTAGCTATGAATTCTTGAAATTTTAATTTATTTAGAAACCTTAACAATTGGAAAGCTATTGAATTATCTTCTTTATTGTCTATTCTTGAGGATGTTCCTTTGACGCCCAATGTTATTGATAAAAGATTGTTGGCAATTATTTCTTTTGTAGGATTATTAACAATCCTAATGTATCACTTTTTGTTTTTCAAAAGCTGATTTGGAGTGTAATTGTGCCTCTTAAAAGTAAAAGATTTGTATGGTTTATGGCTCATAAGAAACTCAATATTAATGTTACATTTCAAAAAAGGGGATATCATTGTCATTTACTTCCATAGTGGTGTATTATGGGTAGGAGAGAGGAGGAGAGCATAGGTAATTTGTTTTAGCATTGTCCTATCAAGGTTGGCCCTGAGATTTAGGGGGGCCTAAGGGGAATTTTGGAAATGGAGGCCCCTCTTACATTGAAAAAAGAAGAAGAAGTCATGGATAAAACGATAGGTTACAGCTTTTTTATTTGTTTGTAATCACAAAAAAATTTACTTGCACATATAATCATTAAAATTATAAACAAAACAATTTAATGAAACAAAATTAGAGAAAAAAAATTAGGAAAAAATTATTCAATTAAAATTGATAAAGACCTAGGCAAAAAAATTCGGGCAAAATTATTTATTCCACTAAAATCTAATAGATAAAGAAGGTTAAAAAATAAAAATAAAAATTAGGGCCCATATATTGTATGTATTGTTCTTCTTGGGCCCAAACACTTTTTTTTTAATATATATATTCATTTTAATAAATATGAGCCAAACTACACTTATAAATAAATATGGGTTAAACCATACATGGACGAAATAAAATATTTTGGCCCTGAGATTTAAGGGGCCTAAGGCGAATTTCGGAAATGAAGGCTCCTCTTATTGAAAAAAAAATCATGGATAAAACAATAAGTTACAACTTTTTTATTTGTTTGTAGTCATAAAAAAATTTACTCGCACATATAATCATTAAAATTGTAAACAAAACAATTTAATGAAACAAAATAAGAGCAAAAAAATTATGAAAAAATTATTCAATTAAAACTGATAAAGACCTAGTTAAAAAAATTTGGGCAAAATTATTTATTCCACTAAAATCTAATAGATAAAGAAGGTAAAAAGAAAAAAATATGGCCCATATATTGTATGTATTGTTCTTCTTGGGCCCAACACTTTTTTTTAATATATATTTTTATTTTAATAAATATGGGCCAAACTACACTTATAAATAAATATGGGCTAAACCATACATGGACGAAATAAAATATTTTGGCCCTGAGATTTAAGGGGCCTAAGGCGAATTTCGGAAATGAAGGCTCCTCTTATTGAAAAAAAAAATCATGGATAAAACAATAAGTTACAACTTTTTTATTTGTTTGTAGTCATAAAAAAATTTACTCGCACATATAATCATTAAAATTGTAAAGAAAACAATTTAATGAAACAAAATAAGAGCAAAAAAATTATGAAAAAATTATTCAATTAAAACTGATAAAGACCTAGTTAAAAAAATTTGGGAAACTCAACCTGCGCAAGTATCTTAAAAAGAGCCACCTCCATAAATCAATTAATTACAAAAAATACCGTGTAACAAAGAAAAATAAACAGGTGCATAGTATACTCAAAAAAAAAAATTATGTATAGCTGCATCGCATCAACTTTAAACAACTTAAACAAATTCTAGACATTTGAGATATAACTCTTTTTTTTAAAAATTTTATTTTAGCATAAGTAGCTCTATCACGCATCATCTTTCCTCGTGTAACACAATAGTTACAAAATTCACATGAAAGCAAATGAAGACCAAAATCCCAATAAATTCGAATTATCTTTGCATATTATTATTTCCATATTACAACATCCCTTGCCAGCAAATAAAGGTTTTAAATATATATTCAAGGACAAAACCAATAACCAAAAAAACAGCACTTAAAATTGCTGGCCTTATAATACTAAAATTCCGCAGACAATTGACAGAAACAAAAGGATGAGACATAAGAGGAACTTCTGAGAATCTTGCTATAATCTGGAACAAAATCCAAGTAGCATATTTCAACTGAGCACCAAAAATGCGTCGCTCTCAAAATCATTGCAAACAACTGTTGGAATAAATCAGCATCTTCTCGTAGGGCTAATCTATTTTTTTCAATTCATACAGCGGCTGGAATTTTAGGACTTATCGAATTCAGCACCTCTTCGCCCATCTCCTTGCATCCAACCAATTTCTGAAACACAAGAATTGACCATATAAAGACCAAAAAAATAATAATAATAACATTTGAAAGAAAAAAAAAAAATTTGTTTGCTACTAACCATAAACAATTTTAAAGCTTATAAAACAAAAGTTTCTATAGCTGAAATATAGAAAGAAAGAAACATTATACATTTGAACATTTATGAATGGTCCACAAAAGAAAAAAACAGAAGTATAGAAATATGCATACGTTTCCTTCCGAATATATATCACCAGTGCGAAACCCCCTATTCAAAGTATCCAACACTGCAGTCTCAATTCTCTGGGAGGCCTTCTCTTCCCCTAAGCCATACTTCAAAAGCATGGCAGCACTGAGCACTGTTGCTAAAGGGTTTGCTTTATCCTGCATATTAGACCCCCATAGTCTATAAACATTCATTACTGTTCAAAAATAAATAAAAGCATTTATTTATTTTCAGTGGAAAGAAATTGAACTGTTGTGAATTGAACCTGTCCAGCAATATCAGGAGCAGACCCATGTATGGGTTCAAATAATCCAGGTCCCTGCAGATGAATAATTGCCAAAAATGGAGAAAAACAATTCTTCAACCACAAAATATCTACAAAGAATTTGTTTGAAGTAAAGATCCAAAAACTAAAATCTTGTAAAGAATGTGAGTGATTGCCAATACCGCTTCACCAAGACTAGCAGATGGAAGCAGCCCAATGCTTCCTGTGATCATTGAAGCCTCGTCCGATAAAATATCACCAAATATATTGTTCGTTATGATTGTGTCAAACTGCAATATTTTATAGTTTGAGATTTAAGACCTCCAATTTCATCAATGTGGTATGCATGAGCTGTGTATAGAGTGAATAGAGAAATTACACAAAACTTCCACAAAGATGAGACAAACCTGTTTTGGATTACAAACAAGCTGCATTGCAGCATTGTCAACATACATGTGGGAGAGTTCAACATCAGGGTACTCTGAGGATATCGCCATTACTCTTTGCCTCCAAAGCATTGATGCCTGGTCAACATCACAAAAAAATGAAACTTAAAAAATATGGGACTATAGTTCAAATTTTATCCTCATTTATTTACCAGTATTATTTACTTTCCAGAGAAGGGAAGATGATCTTTAGTATTTATGCATAAGTTGCATTAAACAACATGAAAAGGTATATTTATAGAGCCTCTAAATTGGTGGGCACAAGTTGCATTAAACAAACCATCTTTTTCTTTTTTCTGTGTAGTCTGAGTACATCGCAACAAAATTTTACTTTTAAGAGAAAAGAGGATGCAAGATGAGAGAAAGACATTACCATTAAAAAATAAAAATAAAAATTTCCCTCCAACATAACTCGCTATAGGAGAGAGTCCCTTATTGGCCACACTCAGTTTAATAAATATAACTCTTCTCATCATTACCAACTTCACTAGAGCAGCATCAGTAGCATAAGTTTTCAACATTTTTAAGGTAAAACAGAAGAAAATAAGTTCTTAATCATATAAAGAGAAACTCACCAACAAATCTCGAAAGGTCATTTATTACTATATCTCAAACTGTTGCACAAATCAGCCAATCATACTTCTTTTTCTCTTTCTTTAGGATGCACATGATACTGGAATTAAACTATTGAAGTAAAATTCTCAAGTGACACCTTAAAATAAAAAGAGATTCCATAATATATGAAAAAAATTAAACATAAATTAAAACAGGGGTAATAGAAGAACTCTATTACTATCTAGATACCTCCAAAACATTTGCTTTATCAACAGAACAGAGTTTCCTACCCCGCTTCCGAGCAGTCTCAAATGCAACACGAGCAATACGATCAATCTGTCAAGAAATAATTTTCACATCAAATAAGAGATTATGCAGAAATATTACAGAAAATACAGAGATGGTGGGTTGTGGTTTGGGAGATGAAAGTAAATTCTGGCATTTGCATGGAAGTTAGTAAAAAGGAAGTTGTATAAAAAAACTACCTCGTAGGTTGCATAGACCTCAGTGTTGAAACCAATCTCATCACCATTTTCATTTGTGCCAAACCCCCTTGGTTTTCCAAAATAAATACCTATATTTAGGAAAAAAGAGTAGCACAACAATCCATAAAAAATAAGAATGCAAACAAACAAAGAAGACAACAAATAGAGCTACAGAACATTCAACCAGAATGACCTTAACTGCGATCTAAGTACACTAACCTCTTATAAGCTCCCTCACTACCATGAGGTCAACACCTTCAACAACCTCTTTCTTTAAAGTTGAAGCATCCACTAACTGGAACAGGTAAAAATAGAGAATGAGCATGTAAAAAGTGCAAGACAACATCTAGCATTACTTCATTGACACATTATTGCATAAAAACAAACAAACCCAATTTTCTCACTCGATTTGATCTATAATTTGCACTTCCACAACTCCATCGTACGGTTTTTCTACATATTCAAAGCCTAATTTCAAGCTAGAATTATCAGAGCCACCATTACAGTATCTTGAGTACGGCAATAGTATCTATACCAGATCCGAACAAATTAAGATGAAATTTTAACAACTAAACACAAAAATTTGTAGTTTCGATTTCAGTAAACAAAGCACAAACAAGTGCAAAGAGCAAGAGACATTTCAAGGACGCAAAAATAACTGATTTCAAGCCCGTAAAGCTGTGAAGTGAAGAACAGAACTAACCTTTTCTTGCTGGAGATCGTTCGTCGGGATTTGCTGGGGCGAGAAAGTGAGAGAAAATGAGAGAGGAACTGTGGGAAAATGAAGGAAAATGAGAGAGCCAACAAATTAACTACATGGAATCAAGAAAAGCCTAAAGCTTATCTTACACTTAGACCAATAAATAGAGCTGATGAGGTTAAAGTTAAAGCTGCTAGAATACCGTACTGGAATTGGAATTGGAATTGGAATTGGAATTGGAAAGTAATTTCACAGCTCAATAGAAGTTAACAACTATCATAAAACCATAAATGTAATTTCACAGCTTCGTATTCACAAAATAAACTAGTCTCATTCTCCAAATAACTTCAATAATACAATTTAGAATTGGAGAGTTAAAGCAACAATTTGATAATCAAAACAAAATACGAAGAAGAAGCGATTGCCCATGAAAATCGACAATATAAATGGAACCAACGTGAGCGCCAAGAGAGAAAACGATACCTCGTTGGTGCAGATGGTGGTGGCGGTGTAGCTTTGAAATCGAGAGAGAGAGAGAGAGAGAGAGAGAGAGAGAGAGAGAAATCAAAATCGCTTTGAGATGAAATCAAAGATGAATCTCTGAGAGAGAGATCTAGAGAGAGAATCGAAATCGCGGTGGCGGTGCAAACTGATATGAATCAAAATCGCGGTGGCGATGCAGACCAATCTGAAATCAGTGAATCTGTGAGATTTGAATCGGTGAATCTCGCTACCTCGCCGGTGCAGATGGTGGTGGTGGTGGAGCTTCGAAATTGGTGAATCTGTAAGATTTGAAGGTGAGATTCAAAATAAGGGTTTAGAGAGGGTTGAGAGAGAGGCGACGTGAGGATTCAATTTGAAGGCGTGAGGGTTTACAAATGGTTTATTCTCTGATTCAAAATAGGTGCGCTTGGCATTTAGAGGTGCTTTTAAATAACTCCTATTATAAAACAGTGCCGTTTTAATTAAAAAAATATATGACATTTTTAAAACGTCGTTAAATATTAACAAAATGACGTTTAAAAAATGCTGTTAAAAAAACACTGCAAAAACCCTTATTTCCTGTAGCGAAACTAAAACCTTAAATATGACATTTTCTATTCTTGCTAAATCTAATATATTTTTACTATCAATTCTCTCGTGCGGATTCTTAGGGATGCTTCGCTTTCTAGTTACCACCAAAAAGTGGTTGGATCTCTCATGTTCATATTCAAGGTTTGTCTACTGAGATGGAATATTTGTTTGTTTCTCCAAAAAATTTATTACAAAATTGAACCATTTTCGCACATAACTTTACACAACACTTCAATCCAAATATTACTCAATTAATTTATGCACTAACTATTGTAGCTCGACTTTTTTGCGCCCCTTTTCGAATGGTTTGAAAGAAAGCCCTACAGTTCGGACTCTCGTGGTTCTGAATCTAATCTCACAAGTGCAATGTGAAATTGATAAACACTAAGTAATCCAAATCCGGCAAATCATTTGGAAAGTTGATTTTGAATAAAAAATGTCAAAATTGGACTGCTTTGTCAGATAAAGAGTCGCCACCTAAATATTTTATTTTAGAAAAATTTAGGAAACCCATGACTCATGCCAAAGGCCACCTGTCCGTCATCACCAAAGTTGCCTCGGCTCGGGAACTTGGGTATGAGAGGGGAAGGTCATGAATTGAGCACCCCCGCTCGCCCGATCGCTCGATCAAAGATCGGCCTCTACTAATCATGATATGAATTTTTATGAACATTATATGTTCTTGTTCTGGTTATTAGGCTAGCATTAATACATGATGCACACAAGCAAGTATATACTAGTTTACCTGAATTGGAACAACTCAATTTCATGTTTGTTTTGTGAAAAGGGTTTGATTTTGCCACCTCAAGTGGGCTTAAAGTTTGCGAATTTGCCACTCAACAAAGTGGCCTTAAAAATGTACATTTATTAAATCGTTCCATTTCAAATAACAAGCCTTCATCCGCAGGCACTCAAACAGTTTTAGCAAGTAAGCATTTAGCCTTATGGCAAGCATGCTAGTCATGGCAAACACTCACACTCATGCAAGTATGCTAAAGCATTAAAAATTCACCTAGTACTCCAAGGTAAGATAAAACAAAAGAGTTAGAAAAATATGCATGATTCTTAACTATGCAATATGTCTAATGCAACTCATGCAATATGCAATTACTAAGCTCGGCTACTAATATGACATATGGATTGATTTTGATAACATGTGGTCTAAGCACATATTCAGAGAAGTATTGAAATGATAATGCAGTTTGAATGATGCGCCGAGCCTCGGTACATGCAATACAAGATGAATGGATGCAAGCATAAGGTACGCTAATTGAAACATATCCCTAATCTAACCATTAAAAGCAGTTAAATAAAAGGGAGAAAGACGTGGGGTTGGAAGACATACACATTATTATAACATGCTCTCACGAAAGAGATTCCGAATGAATAAAGCTAACTAGCTAACTAATTAAAAATAATTATTACAAAACTTGAACGAATAATTAACTAACTATCTAAGCTAATTAATTAAGAATTTAACTAGGCTAAACTAATTAAATATTACAACACAAACTAATTAGCTATAACTAATTAATTTACAACAAATAAATAATTAAATGCTAATTTAAACTAATTAATTAACTAACTAGTCCCGGAAAGCGAGGGAGGCCCATGCATGCTCGATTTCCACCCGAAGAACGTCCGTCGTCTGCCCTCGAAAGCCTCTGTTTGCACAACCCTTGCACTATTTCCTTCTCCAGATCAACTCTGCCATGCTTCACAAGCACACTGCCAAAATTCACTAGTGGCCGACCGGCCAGAAGTGGTGGTCAGCTGGCCACCACTAAGGGGTTGCCGTCCAACATTGATGGCCTGCCGGCTAGTAATAGTGGTCGGTTGGCGACTGATGACTGATCCTTTTTTTGCTACAATAGAGGGCAAATAGAGGGTATTCTCACAGGTTGTATGTACTGTGTATCCATCCTTATCATCAAAACATCTCAAATGAGTAATACACTTGGTTCCAAAACTATCAATCAAGCAATTTCATTGCATGATGGCCAAAGAACCAAGGTGTACTAGTTAATAAACGCACAAATAAGACTCAACAGCCGTCACCCTATCATGCATGATCAAGGGTAATGGAGACCTTGGAAACTTGGCACATTTCATCACTTTGAGTATGAAATGCCCCAATTTTCCTTGTGTTCAAATTAACGTCCGATTGCACACATCAAAACAAAGCCAATTTCTTAACTTGCACACTTTTAGTTACTCATTTTAATTTACCAATCCATTCTTTAACCAATTAAGTCCATTGGTGAGAAGTCCCCTAAAGGGAAGGAAGTGTCAAACAAGGGGTAGCTTAAGACAAGAGAGAGATGTCATGCCGTTGGTAATGAACCCCCCAAAAAGGATTAAACCATTAAGCAATGAACCTGAATCTCAAGCTTAAACTATCCTAAGGTTGAAACTACCCTCAAAGCAAATAAAGAGTGAAGAAATGAGGGAGATTGCAGAGATTATGCTTTCTAAAATGAAGTTAGAAAAACACTAAAATGTGCAATCAACTCAAACAAGTTGTGCCTAAAGGCCTAAAACACCAAGCTTGTGAGGACTATTACACTACAAATATGCGATACAAGACTCAAATGCAATAAACAACCAAAAACAAAGACAAAATAGTCTAAAATAGAGCCTAAAACATGCTGGAATTATGCTACAAAAAGCTAGAAAATTAAGCTAACACATGCAGCTAACTAGGCTAACAAACAAGACACAAGGAGGGGAGGCTAACCCCTCCAATTTTGGACTTCAAACCATGATTTTTCTTATTGAGAATACTCTGAAATTTGGTGCTAAAAATCCAAGAAAAGATAGTTTGAAGGTGGGAAACAAAGGTGAAAAAGCTTTAAAAGCAAGGAATAGAAAAGAGTGAGATACCCCCCCTCCCAACCTTAAATGCCCTAAAACACCAATTTCAGCCCACAAAAACAGAGTTTTTTGTGGCCCAAAAATAGCCCAAAAACAGTGGAAAAAGATTTAAAAAAAAAAAACAAGTATACAAAACAAGCTTAAAAGACAAGTAGTATACCTCTTGAAGCAAAGAACAATTTTAGGCACTAACTCAAGCTAAAACTGCCTTCAAGAGCTCCAAGAAGGCTTCAAGGAACCTCAGCTCAAAGATGATCAACTTTGGTTAAGGAAGTGTAGGCAAAAGTATAGTATAAGTAGACAAGTGTGCACAAATTGACAAGAGAGAGAGAAATGTAGAGAGAGAGAGAGAGATTTTGTTCCAAAATTTTTGACCTTTAAAAATGGGGGAGGAGACCCCATATATATAGATAAACAAGCATTTGGCTGAGAAAAATCTATCCATACACGTGTATGGAGATGAAGATAATTGTGCCAACAGCTGGAACAACTGTCAACAAAATATCTGAAAAAAGACACTGGTGGCCGGCAACCACTAGGGGTTGCAAGCTTGAACGTTTTGGTCCAAAACAGGGCACAGAATGGATTGGGTTTGAAGCCTCAAAGACAGGGCATTCCGCCGAGGACTTCGAGCACTAAAACGAGCACAAAAAGTCACAATCAACGAGTGCACGAGCGATGACATCCAAGTCTTGGGAACGATAAAAAATGGGGTGTCTATAACTATTTTTTTTAAAAAAAAAATTTAGGTTATCACACATAAGCTAAAGCTTTTTCCATAAGTCTTCATCATCTTCAACCTTGTCAGCTTCAGCCTTAGCAAGTTCTCGGTCAACCTAGCACACTGAAAGAAGAACTCCATGAAACAATAGCATACAAGATTTCTAAAAAGATTTCAGTATTTGAGCACAAATAACAATTAACGTTTTCAAGAACAAGCAAGTGAATAAGAAACTGCACCAAAATATTTTACAATTAACCACAAGATACATCTTTAGTACATTGACAGCAAACTGAATTCCAAGCCTTTAGACACAAAGTAAGTTTGTCCATTTCTCATTTTAAAAGTATGTCTCAAGCCTCAACCACCCAAATATTGCAACACTCATAGACAAAAGAATTAAAGAAATATAAATTTAATAGACCCATAGCAAAGATACAAGGGAACTGACAACTCATCTCAATTTAAAGCCTTTCAGCCAAACAATTTCAATCTAGTATAAAGACTCCATAAAGTATATTGGAAACAAGGGGAGAAAAGGGAAAGGCACAGATTTAATGGTTATAGAACCCTAATGATCATATAGCGATCCCGATTTTGCCCCGACCTTCATTGTGTTCCGAACTCGGGTTCCGTGATTGAATATTGTATCCATGTCTTGTTATTCTCCTTTGACTCTTTGTATTTGAGTTTTGGAACATGTTGCGTGAGTTTGGAATAGGTTGGTTGTTAGTTGGTCTAGATTGTTGTTGCCTAGATT